TATATATATATATTAAATTAAATAATAAAAATTCCCTTCTTCCACATCTAGTACTCTATCTCTAATTCTCTATTAGACATTTAGAAAGCAGCCCTATTAGAAACCCTAACGGCCTAACATCGTAAACTTAAAGTTTAAATTTCACCCAGCGGCCAGAGCAGCTCAGCAGCAGACTCGCCGTCTCCCTTTCGCGGTCTCGCCGACTCGCATCTCCATCTCGCTGACTCATCGTCTCGCCTCTCCCTCTCGCTATAGCCAGAGCAGCAGATGGTAAGTTTCTTAATATCAGAGACATCTCAAAGTATTCAGCCATTTCACGGATCTCCAATCACTGAGATTTCTTCTAAAATTGGCATTCCAACTGTTACCTTCTCTGCCTTGTGATGTTTTGAAATCGATTTTGACAGTTTCTATTATCCGTTAAGCAATTTGTTATTTTCATTGCTTTTCTTTTCTTGTTAGAGTGACTCATAGCATGGCTGAAAATATACAAAGTGATAAGGTGATTGGTGAAAATGGAGCTTCTAATTCAAATGCAATAAGTCAAACTGAAATAACGGAGTTAAATATAACCAAAAAAGGGAAAACAATATCTGTCGTGTGGGATCATTTTACAGAGATTATTACTTCCGAAGGGATTACAAAAGCAAAATTGTAAGAATTGACGTCGGATGTTAAGAAGGGAGTACAAAATTACAAATTTGTAAGAAGGAAGTACAAAATTGCAAAATTACTTACATAAATTATTTAGCCAGCGATGGAAAAGATCCTTCCATAGTTGACGTGTAGTATTAATATATCTGGTAAGAATTCAAATTGTAATATAGTGTTAATAAATCTATTAATATATTTATCACATGACTCATGTTTGTGCATAATTTTAATTCTGTTATAAGAAATCTTTTTTCTAAAGTATCTTTGTGTATGTCCTAGAGCTTTTTGGCAGTTATCTGTTGGTGAAGTGGAGAGCTTGTCTCCTAGTCCCTTGGACAGAATAATCAGAGTAGCCTCGTGCACCACTAGTCAACTTTTCAATGCCACAACAGCTAAAAGTATCAGAACTAGTGTTTTTGTTTCTGATACTAGTTCTAAAAGTATCAGAACTAGTGTTCTTCGTCGAAATTAAGCAGTCCATCTGTTGCGTGGAATCAAGAAAGATATGTCTTGATTTGTTTTGATGCTGAAATCAAGCAGTCCATCTGTTGCGTGGAATCAAGCAGTCCATTTATTTTGTTTCATCGAAATTGAGCATGTATACTTCATATTGTTTTGTTTTGTTGCTGAAATTTGGAAGTGTAAAGTGTTAATGGTGATTTGTTATCTCTGTGTAATGTGTAGGGATTAATCATTTTGACAGATGTATTCTGGACTCACTTTGTTATCTCTGTCAAGGCATGGATTAATAAGGGACTAGCAAATAGTGATTTAAGCATGTGTAAATTAAATGGTATGTGCGTCATGTGCAATTGCAATTTGCAACCACTGCTCCAATATCTGTAGTTTATATCGGAAGTGCTTGTTTTGGTTTTGATTATAAGTGTAGTGCAGTAATTTGGAACAGGGAAAAAAGGGACGCACCTCAAGTTAGTGCTACGTTATTAGTGGATCAAGCTAATTTCCATTTGGAGCTTGTAGGATACCCGATATACTAAATATCCAGTATTCAACCAGGGTTCGAGAAAGAACGGTATTTAAAGGGTGTTAAATTGTGGATGAGATCAGTGTTCATCCATGGGAATCCTTAGAGAGAGAGCTGGAGAAGAGAAGAGAAAAAGGGGTTTTGAGAAATGATATTGTTACACTGCTTCAGCTATAGTAGGCGTACATATATATAAGCTAACTACCCAACTAATGACAGCTAATAACCACCTAACTAATAATCTGCCTATTAAGTAAACCACGTGCACAATTCCATCTGCTAAGATAATACTCCCCCTCAAGGTGGAGGGTGCAATATGTTGAGCACACCCAGCTTGCCTAACAAATGCAAGTGTTGTTACTGTCCTAGGCCCTTAGTCAACAAATCAGCTAGTTGATCTTTGGTAGGCACATAGAATGCATGTACCGTTCCCTCTTTAATCTTGTCTCGAATAAAGTGGCAATCGATCTCGATATGTTTGTCCTTTCGTGAAAAATGGGATTAGCAGTTATTTGCATAGCAGCTTTGCTATCACTCATCACAGCTATAGGTTGAAGAATTTGAACTCCCAACTCCTGAAACAATCCAACTAGCCAAGTGACTTCTGTAACACATGAGGCCATGCTTCTATACTCTGCTTCAGCCAAACTCCTAGACACAGTGTATTATTTCTTGAACTTCCAAGAGATCAAGGAGCTTCCAAATTTGATAACATAACCTGTTAAAGATCTTCTGGTATTTGGGCAAGCAGCCAAATCTGAGTCACACCAACATGTTAGAGTATTACTAGGTTCAGCCTTGAGCCATACTCCTTGTCCTGGTGCATATTTGAGGTATCTTACAACTCTGATTGCAGCTTCCCAGTGTGACTTCTTAGATCTTTGCATAAACTGACTCAAAGTTTGAACTGCATAACTGATGCCAGACCTAGTGATAGTCACATACATTAGCTTCCCAACAAGCCTTTGGTAGAGACTGACATCCTCTAAAAGTGTATCATCTGTAGCTCCTGTGGAAGCATCAAACTCTACTGTGGTGAGTTTTAGGTTTGATTCAAGAGGTGTATTGGCTGGTTTGGCTTCACTTTATCCCAGCTCAGAGATTAACTATAGCACGTATTTCCTCTGATGCCATGACATATTGTGAGTGTTAATGCACGAAGGGTGATGACGTGCCATGATATGATAGTAAAAGCACGAAGGGTGATGTCGTACCATTTATATTAATTTTATGGTGAGATTGAGAGTAAAAGCACGAAGGGTGATGTCGTGCATTTTTCTTTACTGTATTCACTATTTCTGTTGATTCATGGTATATTGACTACTCTGGTGATCATTCTGTTGTAGTTCTTTATCTTGTATTCCCCTCAGTATGTCTCCCCTCCCGACATTTCCTATTTAGTTCTTCATTTATGTTATTTATGTATACACTGTTAAATTGTACAGGTTGATTGTAGGTGCCTTGCCTTAGCCTCGTCACTACTTCGTCAAGGTTCGGCACGACACTTACCAGTACATGGGGTCCGTTGTACTGATGCTGCACTCTGCACTTTCTGTGAAGATTTTGATACCGGCTCAGGTTGATCGAGATTTGCTATTAGTCCGCTGTCCGGAGACTCAAGGTAAATCTGTCAGAGTTCACAGACCTTGAAGTCCCCGTCTATCTTTTATGTCCTACTATTTTCTTTCATTCAGACAGTTATATTTCTTTCAAACTATTACTTGTAGAAAATTCTAGAATGTTCGTGAATTGTAACTCCAGATCCGGGTGGTAATAATTAATACTGTTTTATGATATTTCACACTTATTATATTTCATTTGAGTTAATTATTGATATTTACTGAATCAAAATAAGAAAATGGTTTAGTGATTCTCTAACATTGGCTTGCCTGGCAAGTGAAATGTTAGGCGCCATCACGATCCCGTCGGTGAGAAATTTCGGGCCGTGACATTTTATAACCACACAAATACTCTGACCCTTTTTGAATTGTTTAGGACCACAAATTTCAAAAGTTATCATTTTTTCTTAAACTTCGTGCACAGTCAAACAGGTTCACGTAAATTAGAACAGATGGAGTAATAACTTTAAAAAGGGCCTAATGCCAACGTGAAGATTAAAAAAGGCTTAATCCCAACGCGAGAAGAATTAATTAAGTTTTTTTAATTACCCATATTTAATAAATAAATTCAAAAATACCAAACAAACGTACGTGGGAGGAACTATGATTATTTTTTTAAACCGGCAGATTTCTAAAATAATTTAAACTCCAACAAAGTTGGAGAATTGTCCTAAATATAGACACATGTCAATTTAATATTATGCCACTTGTCATCATAACCTTTCTTTGCCTCTCCGATTATATATAAAATAGATATAGAAGATAGATTAATGAAATAATATAAAATTAAGCTACATATGTTTAACAAAGAAGTAGGGCAAGAAAATAAGAAGAAAAAACTAAGGAAAAATGTGGGGTTCCATTTTTTGGAAGTGGAGTAATCATATATTTTTAGTTTTCTATTTTAAAAAATATGTGTACAAAAAATGTGGGACTTCACAGAACTCCAATAACTGAATTGGTTAATTATTTTAAAAAAAAGGGGTTTTTTCTATTTTTTAAAATCTTCAAATTTATTGGAGTTTTATCATAAGATATGACACATGTTGACATTTCGTTGTGACACTTGGCATGATAGTATGGATTTGCTTCTCTTTTTATACATTAATAGATATAGATAGATATTTCTAGCTATTTTTAACGGGTAATGTGATTTGAAATCTTCAACCGTTGACAACTTGTTTGTAGTCTTATTTGACTTTCTTTTGCAGGACTAATAACAAGAGAAAACTAACCTCTATAGCCCCTCAAAATTTTAATAGCCCATATTTTTTTTTACTTACACGAAATGGCCCTTCGGGCCAAATATATTATATCTAATAGTAATAGTCTATTTTGTATATTTTTTGTATAGTGATAGTCTATTTTGTATAGTGACAGTCTGTTTAGTATATATTTTGTATAGTTACAGTCTGTTTAGTATATATTTTGTATAGTGACAGTCTATTTTGTATATATTTTGTATAATGACAGTCTAGTGTATATAAATTGTATAGTGGCAGTCTATTTAGTATATTTTTGTATAGTGACAGTCTATTTTGTATATATTTTGTATAGTGACAGTCTATTGTATATAAATTGTATAGTGACAGTCTATTTTAATATATTTTTTGTATAGTGACAGTCTATTTAGTATATACATTGCATAAAAGTTGTATATAGGGTGTATCATGCATCTTGTAATGTATCCATAATATATCATTAATGTATCCCGGGCGCTTTTGTGTATCCAAAGTGTATAGACCTTTCTACAATGTATAAATTTTATATAATTTAATGTATTAATTTGAATTTTGTTAGTACCATCTTGAAATCCTCTGCAAAAAAACAAAACAAAAAACCCCAAAATAAAAATGAAAAAATCTCTGAAGTTAGCATTATTATAAGCCTAAAAGGCTGAAAAACAGACCTGAAGACAACAGTTCGATTAGACGGTCTGACATTGGATCCAACAGTAGCCTAATAATACCAGAAGCAAAATTAGATCATAAAAAACTGATTTTTATTGTTTTATAAATTCTTTTTAATAAAATTAAGAAAACATTGGAACAAAAATGATGGGATTTTACGAGCAGAAAGTAGGTGGAATGCTTAAGATGGGAATTGGAGCTGAGGGACTTGAGAAGAAGGTGCTTCCATGGCGCTGTTGCAGAGCTACTCATTTTCGGATTATTTTTCCAAATTCTGAGGAGAATTTTTGTATTTTTGGCTGCTGAAGTAAACTGCAATTCTATTTATTCTCCATTTTCAACAATTTTGCTTACTATTTTCTGGTTTGCTATGGCGGAGGAAAACATTACGGCGACGTTTATGACGATGAGCCGGCGGAGATTGCCATCGACGAAACATCTGATGCTGCGTCGAAAATCTCTACACTGAAACAGAAGATAGCGGCACTGGAGCAAGAGAAATCCCAGCTTCTTCACGAGAACGATGTGATCAAACGGAGAATCGAGAAACTAAAGAACTCAATCGAGGAATCTCATAACGAAAAATTCAAATTGCTAAAGAAAGAAGCAAAAAGCACTACTTTTGGGCTAGCCACCAGAATTACTTTTGGGTTATAAAATATGTATTGTAATTTTGGGCTACCGAATGTTATAAATTTGACCCGAGTGACTATAAATGATATTTTCTCTAATAACAATGTCATACTATGAGCCCGTTTGGACATGAAATATTTTTTTTTTTTTCGAAAAATTTTCATTTTTTTTCGAAATCAGTGTTTGGCCATACTATTTTTAATTTTCACTTGAAAATGAATTTTGAAAATTTTCAAAAATTTGAACAATTTCAAAAAGTTATTTTTCAAAATTTTCACTCAAATCACTCACAAAAATTCAAAAACAATCCAAAATTATATTTATTTCCAAACACAACTCTAATTTTCAATTCTAATTGGATAATCGAGAAAAAAACCTTTTATTGGATTAAATTGGAGCAAATTGAGGTAAGTCTCTTGTCTAATCTTGTGAGGGAAAAATTACCCCATAGGTGATAAAACTAATAATGTTTACTAATTGTGGGACTACGTACGCACGAGGTGACGAGAGTCCGTACGTAGATACTATCTATGCTAAGTTCGGGTAGTTTAGGACTCAAAGCATAAATTATGTGTGTAAATTGTATTCTTTATTTAATTAAATTATTTGAAATATATTGTGAATTGTTAGGGAAAGATAGTAAAAGATGGGAATCTCATATACTTAATTTCTGTATAAATTAATTTAATTGTTAAAGGAAATTATGCATCCTCTCGTATTAATCTTGTAATAAATATACTCTCATTCCGGAGGTACATAAGAAAATGTCCTCCTTTCTTGTGGAGCAGGTCGAACGCCTCGGCAGTATAGATGTATCTATGGATCGCGTCGCACGTCCCTCGACAATGTACACGACACTCTGGATCGGGTCGTACGACCTCGGCTGAAATCGTGCCAAATAATAATAATTATACGATACCTTAATATTTTAAATTGCAGTTTGTGAATTTAATTAATAGATTGGAGATTGTTGCATTTGAAGGAATTTAATTATTTTTGTTGGTTAAATGAAGTTATTGTTAACTCTGTGAATCTTGTTGATTTAAATATTCTAGTTTTATTTCAATTATTATTATTGACCCACAGTGAGTGTCAAAGTAGGTCATCTCGTCTCTACCTCTTCGAGATTAGGCTTGATACTTAATGGGTACACGTTGTTTACGTACTCATGCTATACTGGTTGTACTTTTTGTGCAGGACCTGAGACAGGTGCTATCGTTGGACCTATCGGCGTGTACCCACGTTATCCGGAGACTTAGTGGTGAGCTGCTTTCTGAGCCGTTCTGCAGCAACTCGTGCCTCTTCCTAATATTTTATTCTGTCTATTTCATTCCAGACAGTATTTATAATTTTTGTATAATCTACTATATGCTCATGCACTCGTGACACCAAGTCTTGGCACACACACTAGTGGAATATTTGGATTTAAATTCTGTTTTTGGTTATTTTAATTTACTAAATCTTTTTATATTGTCTAAATTCCGGCAAATAAGAAGAGTTTAATTACTCGATTAATTTTAAAAGAATTGAATATGGGTTTAAATTATTAGTTGGCTTGCCTAGCTGTAGTGTTGGGCACCATCACGACCTATATGTGAAATTGGATCGTGACACAAATGGATGCTGATTACATTTGTTATGATCAGTTTGCAATGGAATTTATTTTAGGGAAACTATCAATACCTTCACTTAATACAGGATCAATTTCACCTCCTAACAGTTTCCTACTATAAGTCCCTTGGCCACTAATTCCACAAACAAGAGAACCCACAAGAGCAACAACCATAATTAATCTTGAAATCACATTAGAAAATATGAGTGTCTCGTTCAAGGCCACTGACTGCACCAACATGGCCTGAGACTTGTGTCCGTATTTTGACGGAGTACAATAAACTACTTTGTTATAATGTCAACTTCTTATCTATCCAATGGAGCAAAGTAGTAGTTATTTACTCTTTTATGTTCTCTTTAGTTTGATTGTTTTTGTTCATTGCATTTTTAATGTTTATGCGATCTACTTTGTTAAGATGTGCATGCAAGCGACAAAAGGAAACGATATTAACCAACAAGAACTTTTTAACGTGAATTTTTGACACAAATATTCATTGTTGCTGAATTTACTGGATATATGGTACCAGATCGGGATGGATTCCGTAACAGTACAAATTCATAGTTAATCATATATACAAAGGATTGATAAATCTAAGGGACGTTTAATTTCAAATTTCTGGACAAAAGAGGAAGGGGCATGCAACAGGGGACTAATGGTTGTTTTGATATTCGGAGGTGTTCTATTTTTCATCTTTTACGCTACATAAATTCTGTTACAATATTATATGTCATATTTCTAGCTATTTTTAAAGGGGCAATGTGGTTTGAAATCTTCGACCGTTGACAACTTGTTTGTGACACAAGTCTAGTCGTATTTGACTTTCTCTTGCAGGAAGACTAATAACAATGTCACACTATGTTTGAACCGAGTATATATTACATTTTCCAAACATTACATTTACAGTATGTCAAAATAGAACGATCCAATTGTTGACATATGGAAGGAAAAGAGAAAGAAGAAATTCTTTTAGCGTAAGAGTTATTGTTAGTTTTCTCTAGTAAAAGCGAATTAAGTACAAAGTTAATTGACCCTCAATATAATTAGGACAAATTTAAATTTGGAACGTGAGAGTTTCATTGTATTTTCTTTTCAAACTTTTAAGAAGGCGAACAAGGTAGAATGCTTGTTCAGGGGTTCTATCGTTACAATACTGAATTACCATTCTCTCATACTAATAAGTATATCATAATTCTGGTATTATAATGGAAGATCATTCATGCCAAATGGAATTTTATTAGCTGGATCAGAAGGAAAACCAAAGTACATTATCTTTATCAAATGCCGGACGATAATCGAATGGACTATTTGATTGTCCAGGAATTTCATTCACTCCAAATGGAGGTATATTATCTGGATCAACGGCAGGACCAAAACCAAAATTGAGATGATCAGTTTGCAATGGAATTTATTTTAGGGAAACTATCAATACCTCCACTTAATGCACGATTAATTCCGCCTTCATGTGTGAGATAATTATTTGGCCACCTCCGTACAGTTTCCTACTATAAGTTCCTTCGCCATTGATTCCACAAATAAGAGAACCCACAAGAGCAACAACCATAATTAATCTTGAAATCATATTTCCACTGCAAATATTTCAAAAAAATGTTAATGATATTATGTGCTATAATACATAAATTAGATAAAAAATACAGTGAAATCGCCAAAACATACGTCGAGAGTTGCATTTATAAAATTCTTAAAATTGCAACACGCATGCATGTTATATATTCACCTATCAAATACTTCAAACCAATTTCGATATTAAAAAAAAGTAATTCAAAAGAAGCAATAAGTTATATATGTCTTAATAAAGAGCGAAAAGATTTGTTTCCAAAAGTAATAAATATTGGGGAAAAAATAACCATCGAAATCTCATTGAAAAAGAGAAGCTGAAAAAATTGCATGTATGTTTACCAGCTTCGAGCAGTGAATGAAACTTTAGTGTCCATCAGAAGCCTTTATAATTTGTTCGGAAATAAAGAATTGGAATCAAAACTCAATTACATTGACATTTACGATTATTAACTAAATTAATTAGCATTTAACTAATGGTTGGATTCAAAACGAAATATCCCGCATGCACTGCAGAGGTTGGTACTATATCCCTCTCATTGTAATTGTAGTCTCTTTTCAGGTACAGTAGAGGTTGCCTTTTTTTTATTTTTAACATCTTTTAAAAACCAAAATTCCATGTAAAATGAGTTTATTTGTTCCTAAGTAATTAAGTTGTACATGCAGTAAAATTGCCACTACTTTCAAATAAAAAGGTAGACTAGATAACACATACAACTCCATAAAGACTTGATTCAAAGTATAAGAAGGAATACAACGTAAACATATACTAATATAGTCAATCACACACACATAACATTAAAGCTGAAAGGTCTAGGTTCGACCGTTTATGAAAGTGGTCACACATAGGTGATCCACACTCTCCCCTTTGTAAATATGCAACTTAAGGATTTAAATAGTTAAGGGGACTGTCACCCTTGGGATTTCAAATTGTCCATTGTGAGTACTCCTTACACATAATTCAACCGTGTAACAAAGACGAGTGAAAATAATAAAAAAAACGTGCGAGAAATTAAAAAAAATGGTATGTGCAAATAAACAAAAGAAAATTATGTCTTGTAACAAATTTAGACACGGCACATAAGGTTTAATATAATCTGGACCTGGCAGGTCGGAACCATAGTTATAAACTTATAATGGATTCGATCATTTTATTTTCAGATTAAAGTATAAAAGAAAAAAATAAATGTCATAAAAGGAGAATTTTGCAAAAAGACAAAGTATGTCTGTTTGTAACCAAATTGAAACTAGGAAGAAAAAATTTGTTTCTAAAAGTAATAAATATTGGGAAAAAATAACCATAGAAATCTCATAGAAAAGGAGGAGCTGGAAAAATTACATGTAAGTTTACCGGCTTCTAGTGAATGAAACTTAGTATCCATCAGAGGGCTTTATAATTTGTTCGGAAATAAAGAATTGGAATCAAAACATA